TGTAAAAATGTCAAGGGTAAAATCAGCCTTTTGAAATTTGTTGATGCAATAATTATTTGTAACAGAATACCACACAACAATTCCCAGCTAAATATATGATATGGAGACAGAAACTGTATTTGAAAACGATATGCATAACCTGTCTGCAAAAATATATAATTTAAATGTGCTCATTATAAAACAGTGGAAAAAGCATGTGTATCTGAGTCATATAGATATCGTACATGTTGTACTTAAGTTTCTATCCGTACTTATTTTCTTAGTCGACTTTATAGATTCCGACACTATCTATAAAGAGGTGAAAAATCAAGCAAATATAGATAAATCAGGATTTTACTGTCAGCTAACTGTGTCAGCAGATATACCAATTTTGTAAGTTTTCTTTTTGTATCTTTTTAATGAAACAACTATAGTTTGGTATATGTCAGGAACTTTCCAAAAACAGACATAACATAATTATTTCGTGATGACCGCTTCTAATTCACGCGACAAAGAATTTCTGCATTTCTTTTTGTTTTTGATGTACGTTTCATGATGACGCAGTTTCCTAATTTAAAACCTTAAGCTCCAAGAAACAGGATTACTTAACTTACAAGCATGTATTGATATATTGACCAAGAATGACCTGGAGATCATTCAGGTCAGCTTCGGGTTAAAACGATGAAGATTTTAAAAGGGGTAGAACCTGTATATGTCCTATTTTCAATAAACAACTTTCAATCAGCACCAGCGAGGATCGAATGCGTGACAAAATCTATATTTTATTTGCAACCACTTCAACTTCAAAAATCGACTAAAACACCTTGTGGAATACAATTCAGAAATAATGCAAAAACGTTCCCTGGAACCAGCACAACTTGTAAAAATGTCAAGGGTAAAATCAGCCTTTTGAAATTTGTTGATGCAATAATTATTTGTAACAGAATACCACACAACAATTCCCAGCTAAATATATGATATGGAGACAGAAACTCAAGAGGAAAACGAAATGAAAGGAAAAAATTGAACGAGAAAAGTAATCATGTCAATTTGAAGGATTAGTTTAGCGGGCCATGAATTTGACCAAACCATTTTTTGCAAACAAATTCTTCTTTATGACAACATATTTAGCGCGATAGCCTTACTTCGACTAACTAGAATGACGTAAGAATAACTACTAGCCCAAAAATTTGATTGTCGTGGACACAGCTATCACCGATATGTTTATTGGGTTCTAATAAATCAGAGATCTCCCTATGTCTTACGCTGAATCAGGTTCATATTTTCATCATTCATATAAAAATAAGGAGATGTTCTATGATAGCTAATGAGACAACAATCCACCAGAGACCAAATGACATGAGTGGTAAACTTAAAGATCACCATACGGCCTTCAATGATGGGCAAAACCTATTCCGTTAAGTCTACTATGAAAGGCATCATGACAAAATATGAAATCTATAAAAATATATTTGCTCAATAATGATAAAAAAAGATTAGTTTAAAAATCTAAAAAGACGGAAAGATGGGTATATTTCTTCCATATTTCTTCTTTTAATATTGTAAGTGAAACAGCTATACGATTTTGACTTTTTTTAAGCCCATTTTTTTCATTTTGCCTTTTATCTTGCACGTTATAATAGATAGAGAGAAACTTTTAATATGACGGGCAAGACAAGAACCAAATAGAGATCACATGGTCGAAATTGTTAGTCTACTCGTTATTGGCGTTTTATCTCTATAATGATTTTTATCAATTTTTGATGTTTTTGCTTATTATCTTGAAAACTATAAAAGATAAATAGAAAATGTAAATAATAAAAATGGATGAAATTTGAAAAAAATAGGCAGGAAGTTTTGAGTATAAAAAAAAGGCAGGATGAGACACTTGCAAAAAAAAACGTCAGGATGACAATTTAGGTAAAAAAAAAGTCAGGATAAACTTTAAAAAAAAAGGCAGTACCGAATAGAGTGAAAAATAAAAAGGCACGACAGAGATTACAACTAAAAAAATGCAGGACAAAATTTTTCATCCTAGCCCACCCCCCCCCCCCCCCCCCCCCCTAAAAATCAAATGGTAGCTCCCTTAGCAACACCCATTTAAAAGATGCTCTTGTTGACCTGTGTTGTTACAAATTTGATTTATGAGGGTCTGGATGGGGTTTACAGAATGGGGAATAATGGACATAAAGTGCAGAATGAAAGTTTTAAAAAAATATGTAAGGGTTGATTAGGCAATTCAAATATAAAAAGAGATATATAGGCAACAAAATAAAAAAAAAATGAAAATGGTTGGCCTTTGTGCTAAAGTATAAAGAATATATTATTAGAATATTGGACAAAATAAATAAAGAATAGAGCAAAATGGTCTTAAGAATTATTGAATAAAGAAATGAAGGGCCCCACCAGGCCCTTTACTATGCTATTAAGATACTTTTATTTCACAGACAGTTGATCTTTAGAGTTAGTTCCCTTTAGGTATATATGAGTAAAGTACCTTTATATATATATATAAACAGTTCTTTCCATTTTTGCTGGTTTGTTATTTTGATTGGGTTTTTAAAGAAATTTGATAGGATGCTATTATTTGTTATATATACTGAAAAATGAAACAATATCTTGTCATGTTATTGGAATTAAGCTATGATACCAGATTTAAAGATTCTTTATATAGAAATTATTTATAATCAAAACTTTATTTTGAAATTTTATTGATTTCTTTTTACACGATGACTATAGTTACAGTATTCTTAAAACATTTTTATGTAATAATTTATTTTAAACAACTCTCCACCAGACAACAAATGATATAGATGTTAACAACTATAGGCTACAATACGACCTTCAACAATGAGCAAAACCAATACCGTATAGTCAGCTATAAAAGGCCCCGTAAAGACAAATGTAAAACAATTCAAACGAGAAAACTAACGGCCTGATTTATGTAAAAAAAAGTGTCATTTAAAATTAGCCTTGTGAGAAACTTACAATGTGTCTGTTTGTTTTTTGTGAAATCAATTTTAAGGGTTATTTTGATCGGAAGATTGAGAGGGGGGAGTTTTACAAATTAAAAAAAAAAAAAAACCAGATAGTGAAAAAGTTCCAGTTTTAACTACTATGCATAAAGATGTAAAGATGCAGTATTTCTTCTGTTATATTTATCAGTCGAGTCGTGCATGCGCATTTGTCATTATTGTATACAACTAGACCGTGATCATATGTATAATCAGATTGAATGTACGCTGACAGTATTCGTGTATTCTAAACGCGAAGATGACTACATGTACATGCAATAACGAAACGCGTGATAACGATAATAAATACAGTTATGTTCTAGTTCGCCAGACTTAAACGAACATAAGTTATTTATACAATAAAACTCAACACATGTATCAGAAATGAGCTCTCCTTGTGAGGGTAGCATACTTTTTTAGCTCATCTGGCCCGAAGGGCCAAGTGAGTTTTTCCCATCACTTGGCGTCCGTCGTCCGTCGTCGTCGTCGTTAACTTTTTACATTTTAAACTTCTTCTAGAGAACCACTGAATGGAATGAAACCAAATATTGCGTGACTGTTCCTTATGAGGTGCTGACCAAGTGTTGTTACTTTGAAGCCGATCCATCATCCAAGATGACCGCCAATAGGGACTTAGTTTAACATAGGACCCTAAGGGAAATACATACAAATGTTTTCTTTTAGAGAACCACTGAATGGAATGAAACCAAACATGGCATGAATGTTCCTAATGAGGTGCTGGCCAAGTGTTGTCACTTTGTAGCCAATCAATCATCCAAGATGGCCGCCAATAGGGACTTAGTTTAACATAGGACCCTAAGGGAAATACATACAAATGTTTTCTTTTAGAGAACCACTGAATGGAATGAAACCAAACATGGTATGAATGTTCCTAATGAGGTGCTGGCCAAGTGTTGTCACTTTGAAGCCAATCAATCATCCAAGATGGCTGCCAGCGGGAAACTTAGTTTTACAAAGGATTCTATGTGAAATACATGCAAAAGTCTTCTTTTGAAGAACCACTGAATGGAATGAAACCAAACATGGCATGAATGTTCCTTATGAGGTGCTGACCAAGTGTTGTTACTTTGTAGCAGATCCATCAACCAAGATGGGTGCCAACGGGGAACATAGTTTAACAAAGGACCCTATGGGAAATATATACAAATGTCTTCTTCTAGAAAACCGCTTAATAGATTGAAACCAAACATGGTATGAATGTTTCTTTTGAGGTGCTGACCAAGTGTTGTTACTTTGTAGCTGATTTGTCATTGTCCTTAGTACAATGTCATTTTCTACAGTTTCAAATCGTAATTTCTGTAAACTTTACAAAAGTCTTCTGCTTTTGATTAAATTATGGGGCCAATATGAAACCAAATTTGGCCTCAATCATTATTAGGGTATCTGTTATGATTTTAATCTATTTTTACATGATTTCCAAAACCAAAGTAGAATCAGGTGAGCGACACAGGCTCTTGAGAGCCTCTAGTTTTATTAACCAATGTATAATATGACTCAAAAACAGTTCGATTTTCTTTTTTAAGCACACTACGGCTTAATCGCAGTCGTTACTAATTAGGTATCAAACAGTCATACAGGCTCGACCACAGCCATCCATTTAAACATACAAATAAACACCAATCTACAAAACAAGAAATACAACTTAAATAAAGCATTATAAATAAACCATTACTTTCCACATAAGAACAATAGACCGTCTTGGTGATGGTGGGTGGGGTTGGGTGGGGGATTATTAAATGTCTGTAGCATTATTTCCACTTATAAAACATGTATTGAGAATACTTAATAGTTTGCTTGTTTAATATTATATTTTTGTTAATCCATTTAATATTTAAGTTTGTATAATGTTTTCATCTTGGGTACATTTAATTCCTTTCGTTGATCAATATGGTATAGAAATTTATTTTCAAAAAAAGAATTAAAATTATAAAAATGGATTATGGTGTAAAATGAACCGTTGTCTACATTAATAAATATTTCAGGTGTGATCATTGTGAACAGGAGCCAGCCTTGAAGAAATGTTTTGACTGTTAATTATTATATTGCATAGAGTGTGTATCAATTATCCATTCAAAGGTGAATATACTATTTTTTTCTATTGTACATATTTTTGTTAATTTATCATGATTTATTGTAAGAGTTATATTTATATATCTAAAACAAAATAGTTTTGTCATAAATGGTGCAGCTACTGAGCAATGATAAATATCTGAATTCTAATTTATTAAAATTCAATTGATCTAAACAATATAATCAAATAGACAATAACATTGGTATAGGTTATATCAGTGACTGAATTATTTTCATGTCATCAAAGCAATTATAGTTTAAGGATTTATGGCCTCTTATCTTTATATCTATAAGTTTAATCTCTTCATTATAATTATTTACACTCTTATAGATAAAAAGAAAAAACGCCTAGGGAATCATACTTAATTACAGGGAAAGTTGCAGATTCATAAAATTAAAGATATTTCATGTGAGAAAATTGACATATGTCAACAGCGCAATAAACAGAATGCTGAATTAGAATGTGAAGATTGTGAACTTGGTAAGAATTAATATAATGTCAATATATTATTATCTAAATTACATATTTTTGTAATTTATTGAAATGGTGAAATAAATGAAAGATACTATTTAATGATTCTCAAGATTGCAATATGCATACTGAATAAAATAATTATTTAGAATAGTAAAAGGTTATGAAGGGATATTATTTCTTTTTTTTTAATGTGCATTTAATTGTTGAAATAAGATGATTTTTCTTTACTATAAATGTTTTGCAAGTATGCTCAACAAGAACAAGAACAAGTATTTTCATTATTTTTTTTTTTATTTTAGGTTACTGTCTGGCTTGTTCTGATAATTTCCACAGGAAGGGTGCATTAAAAAACCACACACTCAAGCGTAAATCAGAGAAAAATATCATTAAAAGGGGCAGCTACTTGGCAAGACACCAAGTTTGGATGGTATCCAAACCCAAAAAATGAAAAATGTAAATACTCAAATAGTATTTTGAAGAATTACTTTGAACAAACAGTTAAATTTCATGCCGACCCGGAACACTTCAAGAAAGCCTTCATGTGCGAATGCAATAGACAATGGGATATTAATTAATGGTCAGTTTGACAGCACAAAGAGGTCTATGGAATTCATTAAAGGGGATAATTCCAATGCAGTTGGTGCTGTTTTAGAATCTAAAATATTAAAACCAGGGGACAATAAAAAACTGGAATTTAATATCTCAAAATTAAAAAGTATTGATAGTGTGCTGGATACTTTAATCAAAGTGATAAGAGACCATGAAGTTAATATACATGACTCCACAGGACGCATAGTTTTAAAACCTTATTTCTCTGTGGATCATCAATTCAATGTGAAAATACTTACTGAATTTAACAGATTACAAGCAAGTGTAAATGAGACAATCATAAAATGCAACACCTTAGAGCTTAAATATAAGGAACTATTTGGTGAAAGATCAATGCGTGCCGGAAGGAGTGAAGGTGGATTATTAAAGAAAAAAATATCACACAATAAAAGAAAAGCAATGAAACGAAAAGTGCAAAGATTAAAAGATCAGTGTCAATTTATTGCAGAAAATTTGTGTCCTTCTTTCAATCTTGACATTGACCAGTTAAACATAAATGATGCAAACAAGATCAAGGCCATAGTTGAGACAAGCCTGAGAGAACAAACCAACAATATAAATGTGGATTTCCTCAATACAATAGGAGTTAAACATGTCAAAGCACTTTTTATATTGATTGAAAAACAATTTTTACTTGTGAAGCAAAGTGTATTATTTTGGAAAACTTATGTTCAGTAGTTGAAACAAAGTATTGGACTTATTTTAATTCTGTGTATGAATCAGGTGTAAATGATGAGAATCAGGATGTGGAGATGGATGAAAGCGAAAGTGAGGAAGAGAAGTGTGGGTCAGATGCGACAGAGTCAGAATAACCAGATAACAAGTAAGATGCATGCTCATGCATGATGTGAAAAATTTATGTAGATTGTCATAACCAAAATACATGTATATATTGAATTGAAAATAGTGACATTTCATTTTTATATATATTTACTGAAAAACCTCATTTATATTCGAAAACTTATGCACATGTTTTAGTAAGGCATTGCTCAATTCATCTTTGTAATGCCTGCAATAAAATATAAAAATCTAAGAATTATGATCAATTTATTTAGTACATATTGTACATTTGTATCTAGAAATGGTGAAACAATAATCTAATTAGAAATTTCAGTGTTTTCAACCTCTTTTCAATCTATTTGGTTATATATTTCTACCTAGAGGGAAAATATATTTCTGAAAATATATAATATCTTAAATTTAAGGTTTGCACAGTTTATGCATATTTATGTATATAATGTTTGTAAAAATAGAGAATATTTTTGGGGGGGGTCATTATTTTTTAACTAGACATTTGAGGGGGGTCAAAATATTGAATTTATAAAGGATAGGGGGGTCATTCTTGTATATGACCTAAAGGCTGGAAAAAAATCCAGCTCCCCCAGCTTGTAAATAATGACCGTTCCCTAATACAGGCAAGACAGAAGTACGGAGTATGCTACTCAGCGTAAGGCAGAACTTCGAATAATAACATTATAAATCACATTTAATTTATATGAAACAGTAAGCACGAGAAACACGAGCCAAAATCATACGATACATAGAATACCTGTTTTAATTTGGAGAATTACACCTGCAATGCGACAAATTCCATCCAATGGAAAACTGTTGTAAACATTACAGGTATTCTAAAACACGTGTTGATGTAAACAAACACACGTGTTTTACCAAAACAAATACATGTTCTTCCGTACTGTTAATAAGTGTATAGCTAGTATTGCTTGCTCTTTTAGAAGTCTTCAAATACTTCAAAACTTTGGTATTAAATACCAATTCCAAGATAACCATTTTCCAAATAATAAATACGAATAAAATGCAAGGTTACAAAAATAAAAAGATGTTGTATGATTGCCAATAAGACAACTCTCCACCAGAGACCAAATGACATACACATGTAGAAGTTTACAACTAATTAGTTTTCTTTTGTGATTTTTATAGATTATCGTACGTTCTTTTTGTCCTCAAGTATATATGTCATATTTATAAAATTAACAGTTTTCAAAACTTTAAATAGTTCGAAATTTTAATAATTTTCTACCCCAGGAATAGATAACCCTTGTTGTCTTTGCCAAAACCTTTCGGAAATTCTGTCACTGAATGCTCTTCAACTTTGTACTTTATTTGCAATTTAAACTTTTTGATTCGAGCGTCATTGATGAGTCTTTTGTAGTTGAAAAGCGCCCTGTCGCACAAAAATACAAGCCTGGTATCTTCGGTGATTTTTGTATTTATAAAGCCTTACCTAAAATCATAACTATAGTTATCTATTTTATGCAATACGTTGCAACGTTATGTCTAAGCTGTGTACGGAAGTTCCTGCTTGCTATTTAAAATATATCTCAAAAGACTATCAGGAATGGTTTATACCGACATGATGCCCAATCCATAATATATGATTAAGTATACTGAAACATTTACCGAGCGTCTATGTTGAAAAGAGGAACAACAAACTTTTGAATACATTATTTCAATAAATGTCGAACAAGAAACTAAACTATTCTCTCTCTCTCTCTCTCTCTCTCTCTCTCTCTCTCTCTCTCTCTCTCTCAATATATAGTGGAGTGACCAAGCCAACAAGTTTTCAACCTTAATTGAACACTCTATCTGCAGGCTAAATTATGATTTTTCGTTTATAGAAATGTTTAAGCTGTAATTTTGGCCTGGTCGTAGAATCGAAAAATGTTGGATTTTTTAATTTGAGGTCAAAGTTCGGTAGTTGTGTTTTTCAGTAGTGTCAACAAAATTCACAAGGGGTTATAAAAAGGCAGATATTAATATATGAGTTGTGAAAAAGGCAAGACATTACTCCTTTAAAGAAAGAATAAACAATAGCAGTTTATTTTCGAGTCATTTTGAAAACAATGAAATCACCAAATGCCCATTTTAAGGGAAGTTCAGGTGGGCAGCAATGAAAATTATAAGATGAATTGGGAAAAAGCTTCGAATTTTATATTTTTTACAATACATGTACATTTAAAGATATATCTCTGAATTTGGCGCGGTTTCTTTAAAAACAATCGAAGTTGATTTGGTTTCTGTGCAATTATTATATATAATTTATTAGCCTCCTATTGGAGAGTATATAACAAAGCAAAGACAATTACAATTAATCATATACAAAGAACACGAGTTATGATTTACACAGAGACAGTTAATAAAGACGGGATCACGACGAAAAGTTCAATTATTTACACATGTGCTTTAAAGTTTTTTAAAGATACAGTAATTTGTGTACTACTAGTAGCAGTTGTAGTTCTGTAACAATTTACAAGAATTGTAAATAAAATTTACACACACACAGTTAAACTGTTCACGTTCCTCATTCTCTAGATCAAAATCGGTGTCACAGGCAAGAATACAATTTAGCAATTTATTGTCAGTCATATTTCCTAAGTGAACACTAAATGTAATCTGGTTTATGTCTATAACACTCCTCCAAAATTGATCTCGAGCATCAACTGTATAGTCACATGATAGTATTGCATGGGTACAAGGATCATCAAAAAGTTTACCACATTTATCACATAATATTCTGTTGTTTTGTAAGTTTTCACGTATAAGACAGCACGTTGATGTTACAAAATGGGCCTGCCTGCGCATCAGTGGGTGACGTAGTGCTACTCTCCACGCCGCATGCGGTACACAAAACGAGTGAATGTCTTTAAAAACAACAAAATCGGGAGCCACTGCCATACGATGATGCCACTCTACTACTTCAACCTGATAAATTGACGACTTGACTATCGATTTCAAAGTTGCAGAACTAGGAAATTGTCCATCATTGAGAAACTGATCTACATATTTCGATAAACCATATTTTGTGAGTATTTCAATAATGTCACAAGCGGAACCTAATCTGGCGTCATATTGATTATATCTAGCATCAATGAGTCTACGGAGAAGAATACGGAATGAGACAGCTGAGTATGGAAGGCGACATGTTCTTCCAAAGAACAACAGTTTTCGTTCACATATAAAAATTTCAATTGAAAGCCATCCTAACAATGATAAGCACATGTCGCTTCTTGTTCTTCTTGGTAAACCTTGTATAAATTTACAAATATAGTGGTAAGTTCTTTCAAGCATCAGTGTTTCAGTGCAGGTAAGTTTTCCCCAGAGTTCACAACCGTATAGTGCTTTCGGATAGCAGAGCTGACGGATAATCTTTGCGCATACAATTGGATTTGCAATGGCTGGGTGTATTCCAAGGCGTATAACTGATGTCGTCGTCGAGCGCAAGGTGCGACAAGCTTTAAGAGTTCTGTCCATTGTTTTTAAAGATGTATCTAGTTGAATACCAATATGTCGAGCAGAAGTTACATAGTTGATCGGTTCTTGGTATAGATATGTTGGAGTAGAAGTTCTGCGTTTACCGAACTGTAATAATTTGCTTTTTGCTGGTGAAAACGTGAAACTCCACATGTTACTATAGTTCTCACATATTGTTACCATCCGTTGTGTCGAAACGCAGTTTGTAGCAATAAGAGCAATATCGTCTGCCTGAACTGGAGAGCTAGCATTAAGTTCATGAAAGAATGCACCTTCTTTTGAAGATTCTAGTTCGTTTATAAGGTCATTTATAAAGATCAAGTACAGTTTAGCTGACAACGAACTTCCCTGACGAATACCTCGCTTTAGTTCAAACCATTTAGACAATTTACCATTTGATGCCTTTATTTCGAGCACGGTCCCATGCCACTTTTGGACGATTTACAAACACTGGAGGTTGTAAGTTAGCTCCCTTTCCACGAAATTCGAACGTACATAGTACTGGGTGGTGATCAGAGACACAAAAAGT